ACATTCAAATCTGTAATCATTTATAAGTCAATACATTCAAATATGTAATCATTGTTATTTATAACCAAGTCAAGTACATTCAAATCTATAATCAAATAGTATCTTGATTATTAGAGATAAATAAACTGACAAACCTAATCATAAAGAGATTTTCTCAACAGAATAGTACTCTATTAGATAGTCATAAACAACCATTGATAGTCTCAGGCTGCCAACCATAAGGGAAATGCATAATTGTTTCTAGGAATACTCCATTAAAATAGAAACCTACTTGAAAATGTAACAACATCATGACGAGAATAATTTAAACAGGCATAAATTATAAATTTACATGTAGAATTCAAGTTTTAATTCAGCTATAATGGTTTCAGAATGAGCTCCAAAGAAATACAAAAATTTGGAGCTCAGACGAATAAAAGCTAATCATTCTGACTTAGTTCAAGCCTACTACATATTGAAGTTTGAAGTGATGATGGATTAGAGGAAACCTGATATCCTTCAACAAAAAGTTTCAGTTTTTCTATTTCACCAATAACTGAAAGCCATTCAGTAAGAATCTTCATGGTTACATAGTCAGGACTGCAAGCATCTTCCACCATCCTGTCCATAAGTTCAAATGCCTCGGGCAGCATTCTCTTATCTCGAACCCCCTTCAGAATAGCATTATATGTGGTTGTATTAGGCCGAACCCCCTTTACTTTCATGTCATTCATCAAAGAAACATCTTTTTCAACGTCGTTATTTTTGCAAAGAGAGTCTATTAAAATGTTGTATATCACAGTGTTAGGAGGAACCGTTGATACAGAACACATTTCCTCAAAAATTTTCATGGCCTCATCAATATTCTTCTTTAAACAATATGCATGTATAACTGCCCCATATGCGACAACAGAGGGCTTAAGACCTTCTTTAATCATCTTTTTCATCATCTTAGACGCAGTTGCAAAATCTCCAGCTTTGCCAAGGTAAGAAACCAAAGTGTTATAGGTGACGGTATCAGGCTTAACTCCAGTTTCTTCCATTTCGTTGAGCATTTTATAAACTCGTTCCAGCTTCTTCTTCTTGCAGAATCCACTGATGAGAACATTGTAACAAGCTCTATCAAGACGAAACCCGACCTATTTCAACTGTGACACAACAACACTGGCATCATTCATCCTTCCAGCAATGGTTAAACCAGATATCAAACTATAGTAAACAATTGCATCCGGTGAGCATCCAGAACTCAACATCTCATCAAAATATTGCATGGCTTTATCAATATTGTTCACACCACAGAAGGCAAATATCAGCGCAGTGTAAGTAACATCATTTCCTTTCAGGCCCTTGCCTTTCATCTTGTTGAAAAACTCAACTGCACTATAGATTCTTCCGACTTCGCACATACCATCGACCAATGTATTAAGGGTGACCACATTTGGCTGTACTTGTTCCTCATTCATCAGATTGAATAGCTGGCGTGCTTTATCAATGTTGCCAGCTTTGTAGGACCCATCAATCAAGCAATTATATGTAACAGTATTTGGCATATTTTCTTCTCAGTTTTCATCTCTTCCAACAAACTCAAACCGTCTTCTTCCCTCCCAACTTTACAAAGTCCATTAATCAGATTATTATACAAGACCGCATCAGGTTCAACACCAATCCGATTCTTTCCTCCTTTACATCTCAATTTATCAAACACCTGCAGTGCCTCATCAATCCTCCTACTCTTGCACAAATGATTAATAAGAATCTCATAGGTTATGACACTAGGATGTATTTTCCTTTCTTCCATCTCTGCCAACAGTTTATTCATCTTCGGAATATCTCTTTCTCTTCCAAGCCCCGATAACAAGGCATTGCAAGATGCAACTTCAACTGTACCACCCAATTTCATCACAGCATGCAAAAGTTCCCACGCTGCAGAGTTTTTCCATTTCCCACACAGCTTGGATATCATCTGAGTAAGCTTAAACATATCCGAGAAAACTCCATGCTCACCAAGCTTAGTAACCAACCCCACAATTTCCTCATCAGCAAGCCTTTTCCGGGGCGGTCCGTCTTCACCAACTCACCAAAAACAACTTCACCAACGAAATGATCAGGAGGAAACACAGAATCCGGTTCAAGCATTTGATCGAGCACGTGGCGGGCATCATCAGTACGACCCGGTTTGAGCAAACCCATCAACAAATCTTTACAAACTCGCGTACTTTTCAAAGATGGGTCTAGCTCGTTGAAGTGAAGAAGCGATTCATCCAAAGTTCGGGCCTTTTCTAAGCACTACATAAGAAAAATTGACACTAATTCACCATAAAAATAGACACTAATATAAGTATTCAAATAACAAAAAAAAAAGCTTTGATGTAAATCAATGCATACCCCTATCAGCGGACGATTGACCGGTTGCGATTGAGAGTGAGAAGAGTCGGATTCAAGGTCGGAATCATCACTGGAAACATAAGTGAAACTTCGTTGGTGTAAAAATGGAAGAGCGAAGGTTTTGTGCCTGAGAGCTACGCCATATCTGAAGAGGGAGGAGTAATGTAGTAGTGGCCTTCGCATCAGTAGTGGCATTGTGATTGTGAGATGTATTAGATTGAATGGTGTAAGTGATGAAGTTTGTTAAGAGGACATTGTTGTGTTGGCGAGTTTTCAAATGATGAAGGAAGAAGAACTAGGGAGAACACAGCACAATAGATTCACATTAGCGAGTGAGCTTTGGAAGTAAGGTTGATGTGAATGTAAGATATGGCCATGCGGGTGCGATTTGAATAACTAGTTATATTGGAATTCAATTTCTAGCAATTAGACAAATTTTCACCCATATACCCAAGATTTCACCCCTATAATTCGAATATACCCTACATTCCCTCATATTTTCCAATCTAACCAACTTTGATAAATTTTTTTTTAATTTACAAGGGGGCGCCATTGCTGATGGAGTCACCCTTATAAATTATAGGGGGGTGTCATCCCCTTTGGAGGCACCCTATAATTTATAAGGGGGACGCCATCCCCTTTGGAGTCTCCCTTAAAGAGTTAAAGGGGGGCGCCATCCCCTTTGTAACTCCCTTTGATTTGTTATATTTTTTAATTCTGATATAAATAATATAATTATAATATAATACTATTTTGTACAAATTTTTTGTGTATAAATAGTTAGACTTATTTCATTCAAACAACACATTGTTTCATCCAAATTTAGGAGAGTGAGTCATGTATCTTAAAAGATATGGGCATGCAATTTTTTCAAGAACGAAGCCTCCGATAAGGATGTTGTTTTGGAACATCCAGAGTTTAGAGCAACTACGAAGAAATTTGAATCGGTGGTTAGAAGGTGACATTCCAAATGGTGAAAGCATTAGGAGTATTGAAAGACTTGTCTCGTACTTCTCTGTTGAAGACAGAAATATACGGCAGGAGTGGGTGCGAATTAGAGATGACAACGCAGTTAGGTCAATGATGTTTGGAACTGATGATATTACTTTGATTGTTGTAATAACTTAGTTTATGTTGTAACAATCGTTATTTTTTTATGTTACTCTAGCATTATTTCAATTTGTTTATGTGTAATCAGAAGTTGTTATAAATATTAAATTCCAAGATTACACATTTTTTTAATGACGAAATTAAATCTATCTAGAACTGGTTCCAACATTTGGACAATTAGTCCTCGTATGCCCGGGAAGACGACATATTCCGCATAGTCTTTCCATTTTCTCAGTTGTATCCATTTCAATTGTAATTCGCGTGCTTTTGGGGCGGCCCTTTTTGTTTCGTCTCATATTTTCGTTGTGGTAGATTGTGTCTCCATGATAGGTTGGCCAATATTCCTCACTAGCTACCACTGGAAAACTGTTACTATAGATACCAAATAAGTTCAAGACCTTGTAAACTTATGATAGTTGCAAGAATGGATCGTGACGAGCACTGGAACATGCGACAATGACATGTGAACAAGGAAGGCGGAAGGTTTGAAACTTTCCGCAGTCACACTAATTTTTATGAAGTTCCACCCTGTAGTGTCCCATTGGCCGACCCTCGTTGTGATCCATTGTATCATCAACAATGAAGTTGTAATCGTGACGATCAAATGGTCTAACTCGATGTGAGGCCGCCTTAGAAGTTTCATCCTTCATATATTTCATACTGGATTCGCTGAATATTTGCCCTGATTCCAAAACAACACTCCATTTTTTGCCTCTTGCCGCAAAAAGTGACCCCAATCTGTAATAGGTTTCTCTTACCAACGCAATGATGGGTAAGTTTCTAGTTCCTTTAAATACGCCATTTAGGGATTCTACAAGATTTGTGGTCATGTGACCCCATCGGACTCCTCCATCAAAAGCCCTTGTCCATTTCTCGACTGGAATGTTATCCACCCACCTTAATGCTTCCGCGCTTGATAATCTTATTTCTTCGCAGTAATACATGAATGATGGTTGGTTTAAGGCATACCCATCGTTCACAACTTTTTTGCGGAGATTTTGGCCTTTCATTTCCCGCATAAAATTTTGAGCAATGTGTCTTATGCAGTAGACATGGACAGAAGGAGGATTGTGCCAACCATTAGCAGGATTGTTGTAGGCGCTCACAATAGAGGCATGTCTGTCGGAAATCAGACATAGGTTGGGTTGAGGAGCGACATATGTTATGAGATTTCTGAGGAAGAAACTCCAAGATTCACCTGTCTCACCCTCGACCAGGGCAAAGGCAATCGGAAATATATTATTATTTTCGTCTTGTGCAACCGCCATCAACAATGTTCCTTTGTATTTTCCATACAACCATGTTCCATCGACTTGAATAACCGGTTTGCAGAACACAAAACCTTTGATACATGGTTGAAATGCCCATAAGAGACGAGAGAATATCCTACTACCATCAACACATGTTCCTTCAGGAGTGTATGCTGGTAGTGACTCCAAAATTACAACCGTACCAGGAACATATTTTTGAAGTGCTAGTAAATACGGTGGAAGTTGATTGTAAGATTTTTCCCAATTTCCATATACATGTTCAACAACTTTTATTCTTCCAATCCAAGCTTTCCTGTACGATGGGGTATAGTTGAACCGTGCAACAATATGAGAGATAATTGTGCTCACCTTCACAAATGGATCTACGGCCACAGGTGGTCTTCACTTGGGATGAATTACGACAACTGTCCCCATTTCAGTATCACCCAATACAGAAATCTTATAGATCATTTGGGACAAGATGATGTAAGTACTAAGTATTATTAGAATATAGTATCCTTAACTTACCTATTTAGAATATAGTCTCCTTAAATATTATTAGAAAATACTAAATATTATTTTTTTCTCCTACAGTTTATTTGGCGGCCATATCTTGGTCTAGAAGCCATTCACGAAGTTAACCAACACGACTCTGCAGTGTGGAGCGCAAAGGTGCCGATTATCAACTTCACAACCATGGAGATGCACAACAGTGATCGTGTAAAGCTTCATTTTGGAATGCTTCAAGATATTCCATGTCCGCCGAAATGCATCCCCGACAAATATCACACCAGTAAAGTCTCCGACCAATGGGAATATTCTCCATGGACCAAGTATGCAAAACATGAGTGTCGTGAATGGAGGCATCGCAGCCATTTTATTTTGTCCGACACTGTGTTTCCATACGAGAGAAAACAGACTATCCAATACATGAATTGGTATAAGGAGGTATCCATCGGTTTCATTTTGCATCCAAGATATCTTGTTGACCCACGCCAACAAGCCACATCATCAAGACCCCAACAACCAACCCAACCTCATTTCCAACGGCCAACCCAACCCCATTTCTAACCACCAACCCAACCCCATTTCCAACCTCCAACTCAACCCCCACTCACACAACCACAACTATATGAACATACCCCTAACCAATTCACCCCATTCACACAAACTTATTCACAGTCCGAATACCAACAATATCCACCACAATACCAAACATACTCCATGGATACTACAAACCAAATAAACACCCAGTTTCAAACACCAAATCAACCCTTACCAGCCCAAACATTTACACCCATGTCACCCTACGACCAGTCAGGCTATCGTCCTGACATTGCCTCATCCAGTCAACCACCCCAAAATAATTATGAAGGCATGGGCAACCCTTTTGATTTTGATGACTTTACGGGGATGGAATCGACTTCATGAGCCGAAATGATGCAATTTCTTGAAGACGACACGGTCGATCCGACTCCACCACAAAGACGACCAAGAAACGTACGTAATCGAGGATGCGGTACAGGCGGACATTTAAACTGACCTAGTCGTAGAAATTAGTGTACCATATCACTCATATGTACCCATTTGTAATTTAAAAAAATTGTAATTATTTTTTAATATTAAGTTTATTAAATACAATTTAATTTTTATTTATAAAATTTTTATTTATTAAATATTTTTTAATTGTTAATTATTATTTATTAAATATTTTTAAACTTATTATATAATTAAAACTATTTTAAAATTTCGTTTAAGGGAGGCTCCAAAGGGGACGGCGCCCCCTTATAAATTATAGTGTGCCTCCAAAGGGGATGGCGCCCCCTATAATTTATAAGGGTGACTCCATCAACAATGGCGCCCCCTTGTAAATTAAAAAAAAAATCGTGAAAGTTGGTTAGATTGGAAAATATGAGGGAATGTTGGGTATATTAGGATTATAGGGGTGAAATATTGGGTATATGGGTGAAAAATTCGCAATTAGAAGTCCATTTTTTTAAAATTATAAATGTCTAAAAATCTAGAAATATCATTGTTCTTTTTAACATTTAACTTGATTTATGATCGTATCCGATTAGAAGTAGTCACTGGCCGACCATGCGTCTGAGCTGTCTGATGGTTGGGAGAATGGAGGGGGTGTATGTGAAACACACTCCGATGCCAAAGTAAGAGTCAGACAGAGTGATAACAAGTACAGAGAGAGAAGAATGAGATTACCTGACCCTCTAGTGAAAGAGGGTATTTATAGTGTGCCTCCAGCGCAGGGCCAACGGTTACTTCGCGTTGGGCTGAGTTGCCATCCCAATGCTGGTAACTGTTATGGCTGACGTGGTGTCAGGAAGACAGCATGTGGTCTTCACCCTAGTGTAACTGCTTCGTGCTATCCGGGAGGTGGAGGACCGAATAATCAGGACACGGGTAGTTATCAGATGACGTGTCTCCATGTAGGGGACACATTGAGAATGTGGGGGTGCTCAGAGGAGCCCCTCGAGCTGGATAGGGTCTGCCCGACAGCGAGGCAGGAGGGAAAGCGAGCCTTGCATATGTGAGGTGCCTGCTCGATTGCCAAGGGTTCGTGCCCGACTGGAGAAAGGGTTCGTGCCCGACGGGCGAAAGGTCTCTGCCCGACGGGAAGGACATTTGAGTCTTATTGGGCCTTCCAACCCAATGTGGGGTTAGGCCTGCTCGACTATGGGCCAAATGTCGAGCATGTCGTTTCATCGGTCAGCCTGTGGCTGTAGTGGTCGGGCGAGCCTACGATGCACAGGGAGTCTCGCGGATGAGGAGGGGAGACCTGAAGAGACGTGGGGAAAGCTGAGGGGCACCACGTGTCACCCTAAGGAGGCTATGAGCTAGGTACTTGAATGCCTAACGGCACTTCATTTCTCGTGCTAGGGTGTATATATACGCGAGCTTAATCCGTCTTTTCACTCACATGTGTTCTTGCTGCCGCTCAACCTTCTGAATTTTTTGCTTGACGTCTACAATGTTTCTGCTCGGCGCAACCACTTTTCTTCGTCGCGTCATGTAAGTTTCCGCCTCCTCTATTGGTATTTTAGTAGGCTTCCAGTGGTGTTTCCGATGGCTCAGACAGGCCTACCGGGGAGGCCGTGGATTTTTCCGGCGAATACGCCGGAAAGTCCTTCAAAACTAATGTTCTGACCGAACATCCCCGGTACTTGCGATGAGTGGCCCTGGGAGATGCGATGATTGATGAATGTCCAGAGAGTGCTCGATGAATACCCTGGGCACAATCGATGCGTACCCCTAGGACAAAAGGATGAATCCTCCGGGGACGACGGAGGATCTAGGGTGAACCTTGATTGGTCCTCTAGGCGACCCGGGGCGTGTTGTAGTCCTACTCGGCTTCGAGCGTCCACGCCATTTCACTTGAACTACGGTGGAAGGGTGTATTTGATTTAGTTGTCGAATTCACCGAGTTCCTGTGCTTTTCAGGTAAATGGCTGCCTGTGGAGAAGAGGACATAATGTGGTACATGTCCGACGATGAAGAGGGTCGCCAAGATGGGACCGCTGTGGAGCCTCCTGACAGGCCGATCGAAGAATGGGTGGGGCGAACCCCTCAACTATATGTCATGACTCGTGGTTGATGATGTGGACGTCTTCGTTGTGGTCGAGGATAGAGAAGTCGGGGCTCCTCGCCAGTTTAGGGCATGTCGGCCTCGGGAACTGGATCGCATCTGCTCTCGCTATGACGGGGGACGATTCCCCATGTATGAATTCGCGTTTAAGGAGGCGGGGATGCGCCTGCCGTTCACAGATTTCCAGCAGGGAGTGTTCGACCATCTGATGCTGGCGCCCCCTCAGTTCCACCCCAACTCTCTTGCTTTCCTCCGTGCCTTTGAGATCGTCTGCGACTATCTCAAGCTCGGGGCCACGATACCACTATTCTTCTGCGTCTTCCACTTGCAACAGCAGACTGTGTTTGGGTGACACAACTGGGTATCCCTGAAGCAGCCGACCAGGCTCTTCCTGGCATACATGGATTCCGTCAGAGGGTTCAAGAACAGGTGGTGCATGGTGATGCCAAAGACGGACGAGGCCATCAATACGATGTTCCGACGAGAGGTTACCGTTATGGATGGCAAGTCTGAGGTGGTCTTCCACTCCCATTTCCCCTTGGAGTGGATGGAATTGCATTTTCTATCTAACACAGAGAGCTTTATCTACCGGCCTAACCATCTAGATGAGGATGATAGTTTGGGCTTCAAGAAATTGGTTGACTTCATCGGGCGTCTTCCCCTTCGCAAATGCGTGACCCCCGGATGGGCAGTATATCCGCGACACTAACGGAGAGATCCGTACCCAGACTAGGTCTATCAACACGAAGGCCCTCCTTGAGTGTCGGACCGAGGTAGAGGCTCGTCGGTTTTTAGGTAGCGAGAAACTTCCTCGGCTTTTGTTTGTTCTGTTTTAAACCTCCACACTAACTGTTTTTTCGTGTTCTTTTTGCAGGTGCTATGAGTTCGATGGAAGAACGTGTTACGAAGCTGCTAAAGAGAGGTGGCCGACGTCCTGCGGAGAGGGCCTCTGTTATTAGAAAGGAGGTCGGTGCTAGACCGGCGGGGTTGAATCTGTCCCTACAAGGTAGCGGCTCCCCGGTTGCGTCTCTGATCTTCAAGAGGCGACGGGAGTTCGAAGCGTCCCCGATCGACCTGACAAACATCCCTCCTAATTGATGTTTCGTCCTTCCCCCTGCTGTATCAGGCCTAACTTCTTTATCGGGGATAATGTTCCTACTGTGGCTCCCGAGGAGACGAAGACCATCTTGGCTGCCAGCAAGGAGGCTCGGAGGAAGATGTCAGATGACCTGGCCTCGGTGGTGAGGGCGTTTGAAACAGCTCTCGTGCTCAACAAGGAGGCTTGTTCCTCGGCGGACTTAGCCACCATGCGGGGTGAGCTGGCAGTATCTGAGGAGGTTAGGTCCAAGCTGGTTTCCTACCAGAGGGAGTATCAGAGGTAGGACAAAGCCCAATGCGAGTGGATCAAGGAGTTTGAGAAGATGGTGAAAGACGGGGATGATGAGCTGACTGGGTTGAAGGGGCGAGTTGCTGAACTCGAGGACTTGCTTGCTCCTGCCGAGGAAGAGTCTGACAAGGAGAAGCTGCTGGTTTTCCGACGGGAGCTGGTGGACAAGATCCGGTTGTTGGAGGACGACTATTTGGGGGCCTTCGAGGTAGGTTTTAAGAGTGTCGTGGCCCAGCTTCGACTTGCCAACCCCGACGTGGATTTGGTGACCGAGGGGACTGGCCCCTACCATCAAGTCCAAGGTGATCACATCGTGGCGCCCGACGGACCAGACGGTGACGAGGGGGACCAACCCGTCCTAGAAGGGGAGGATCATACTAACGAGTAGGAATGTTTGCCTACGTGCCCATTTTATATGTTGGCCTGTGTGCCTATTTGTATCGGCATACATGCCCGTTTGTAGTTTTTAATTGTTGTTTGGGCTTTGTTCCCTTATTTGTAATTCCTGAGCAACTGGGCTAGTACCCGTGATTGTATAACAATGTTTATCGTTTGCTAAGTATTTGTGTGTGCTCATTTATTTATTTATGTATGCTTGTTTGCTCGGTTATATATATTGGTGGGAGTGGTATCTCAATGTTACTTGTTGTACCCAGTAGTGTAGGGAGCTGGCCGGGTGACCGGGGTTGTTACCTGGTCAGTTACAAAGAGGGACCGCAGTCGCGGCCCTCTCTCCGCGGCATGAACGTCCCATCACGAGTTGGGTGTTTTTCCATCTCGGTAAGGAGGCGGCGACTCTCGATTGAGGGGTCCCCGTTGTTAGTTCCTGATTGGCAGACATTTTGGTAAAACTTGGTAATATCACAAGATGTCCTACAGGATGTCTTGACATATGTAATTAAGATTTTGCAGGTAGCTATGGTTGTTGTTGCAGAAATCAGTTCATGATGTCAAGCATGATGTCCTAACATTTATGAACAAAATATTCTGTGAGAATGTGTTTGTTTGTCTGTTACTTTTGTGCAACTCTTTGCGCTGCTATGATGTGTCTTTTATGGTTCAAATCTGTGTGGATTTAGTTCT